TGTGGAGACCTGTGATAGGGCTTTCTCTACCTCAGCCAGTCCATGTGGAGACCTGTGGTAGGGCTCTGCCTCAGCTAATGTGTGTGGAGCCTGTAGTAGGGGCTTCCTCTGCCTCAGCTGGTCCATGTGGAGACCTGTGATAGGAGCACGCTGCTACAAGGCTTGTCCTGTGGCTTCTGTCTGTGGCCCTTGTGTGTTCAGCGATTAAGATGATATGGAGTGCCTCAAAAATAAGAGCACATATTTTGACTCCAGTAAATACGTGTTTTAGGAACTTGAAGTTTGGAAGGGCAGGAGACTCCACAGAATGCTATAGAGCATGCTGGAGACATGGATGTGCATGTTGATGCAGATCCTCATGGAAGGTCTGTATCAGCTTTTGTTGGTGTTTGACCTTTTCTGACCATGTGATGTTCTCTCCTTTCTCCAGGGTGCGCAGAAGGGTATGCGCGAGACGCCACAGAGATTCAGAACATCCAGATTGCCGATGGGGACGTTTGCCGGGGCCTCTCCATTCCCATACACATGGTTTTCCCCAGGCTGTTCACGTGCCCTACGCTGGAGACCACCAACTTCAAAGTGGGTAAGCCAAGCTCACTTCCCACCCTCGGAGGACGGTCGGCCTTCTTCTGGTGAGGGTCATGGCCACAGGAAGGCCTCCCAGGGCCCAGGACAGATGGGCCCGTGGTCTGCGGGGGACAGCTCCAGCTCTGAATCACTCAGCCAAACTCACTGGGAAGCCGCTGTGCGGTGCCAAGGGTATGGCAGTGAACAGTCTGGAACAAGTCCCTGCTCAGGTGGAAGTTACACCATAACGCAGGGAGACACAGTAAACGTGCAGCCATAGAATAGGTCAGGTGGCGGTGAGGGCTGTGCAGAAAACTAATGTGAGGAAGGGGCGAGAGAGCGGAGGGCAGCGATTAGATGAGAGGCTTCTCTGATAGGGGACATTTGAGCAGAGACTAAGACATGAAAATCCCATTGTGAGTGTTCATCCTCATGAAAGCTCTGGGCCTCTCCAGTTTAGGGTTCTCTGGTCATTTCTTATGAATGTACGTGTATACGTGTGATGACCACAAAATCTGAATCAGAATCCACAGTTTTGTATCCTGCTTTTTCCCACAACATTATTTCGTGTTAAATGAAACTCTTTAAAACTATGTTCAATGATTTTAGATAGTCTTATAAAATACTTTAATGGTACATCCATCCTAATAAGAATCATCATGTTTATGGAGTTCCATTGAGAAATGACCCCACGCTATGCAGAAGTGGAACAAAACTCAACAGGAAGGGACCGCACGTGGCTTCACCCCTAACTGACACAATTTTCTGCACACTGATAGAAAAGCTCGTGAAAGGAGTGTTCTCCAGGCTTTCCTGGGGCATCCTTCTGAGCCGTGCCTGAGGTACGTTGCTAAGTATATGGGATACAGAGGTTCTGGAACTTGCTTCTGTTATTTAAAAAAAAAAAAAACCAGTTGGTGTCTAATGGATTGTGACTCACGGCGACCCCATATGTGTCAGAGTAGAACCATGCTCCATAAGGTTCTCAGTGGCTGCTTTTTCAGAAGTAGACTGCCAGGCTTTTCTTTCGAGGCACCTCTGGGAGGACTTAAACCACCAATGTTTTGGTTAGCAGCACGCACGTTAGCCATTTGCACAACCCGGGGACTCCCTTCTGCTATTACATGTTTTAAGGGGAGCTTATTCCCAAAGGCCATACACTTTTATTAACTTCATATTCTCCCTAGACCTTTTAACATATGTGATTAGTCCAGTGAGAATCTTTGTGTTTATAACACCATGATTTTACTTTAAATACTCTAAGTAATGTAATTTAGAATGTAAGTACGTACAATTTCGTTGTCAGAGCTGACGTGTTGTCTGGGTTAAGGGATGGGGGGTGTGTTGATCTGTCCCTGGGTCACCGGGAGGCCTGTGACCTTCCTGTGCCCGCTGTGGGCCGTGAGTCCTAGAGCACAGCTCACCCAGCGGGCCAGAGCACTAGGTGGCGTTTGTGGAGCTCCCCGAGTGCTGTATGTGAAGTGGTAAGTTGTAGCAAGAGCATGTCTGCAGCACGGGAC